ACTGGCCTTCTGAGTCCCTCTATTTCCCTCTACCCATCTGCCTAGAAACCCCAGCACTGCCCATTCCTGTACAGGACAGTGACTGCTATGATTCTTGATGAGGTGCCTGGTCCACCTGCCAGTAGCTCTGATGGCAGTCTCCAAAACCAAGTGGGCTCCAAAGTTCCTTTTTCTGTGCTGATTCAGGAGTCTTAGGCATTGGTAAGAAAACCATCAGAGGTTTTCTACAATTAGGCTCTAGCACCATTTCTGAGGTCCCAGCCAACACCCAGCACCCAAGATTTAGGGACTTAGCCTACTTTTCTTTTGACTTGAAAGATGCCATGGTCCACTCTAGCCTCTGCAATATTTCTCTCCACAAGACTGACTATTAAAGAGATTCAGACTGGACAACACAGAGGATAAACAGGGACTCTTTGCATTTTAAGAAGTGTACTGCTCGGGACTTCACTGGCAGCCCAGTAGTTAAGACTTTGCCTTCCAATGCAGGGGGTGCAGGTTCGATCCCTGGTTGGGGAGCTAAGATCCCACATTCCTCATGGCCAAGAAACCAAAACATAATACAGAAGCAATATTGTAACAAATTCAATAAAGACTTTAAAACTGGTCCACATCAAAAAAATCTTTGAAAAAAAGAAGTGTACTGCTAACTGGAAAGTTGTTTTTACACTTGGGGGAATGCAGAAATAATATAGGCGGAACATTACAAATTAGAGCTAAAAGGATTTCATCCAAAGTTCCTGACTCTAGCCTCTTTGGTCTGGGCTTCCTATGCTTAATCCTGAGAACATATTTCACTAAACATCCTCCTCCTCCTTGCTTAAGGGCTAGGATTTTTGGAATTATGCTTAATCTACAGATCAATTTGAATAGAATTGGCAGTTTAACAATATTGAGTCTTTTAATTCATGAACACAGTACTTCTCACCATTTGCTGAGGCCTTATTTAATTTCTCTCAATAATGTTTTATAGTCTTACACATCTTTGGTCACATTTAACCCTAAGTATTTCATATTTTTCATCCTATTAAAAATGGTACTTTAACAAAGTTTTCAACTTCCAATTTTTCATTGCTACTATATAGAAATACAATGGGTTTTTGTATATCAGCCTCTGTCCTTCAGCCTTGCTAAGCTCACTTATTAGTTCTAGTAGCTTTTCTTTTAAATTCCTTAGGTTTTTATACATAGAAAATCACACAGTCTGAGAATAAAGAAGGTTTTCCTTCATCCTTTCCGATCTAAATGTTTTTTTCTATTGCTTTATCATACTGACTAGAATCTCCAATATGATGTTGAATAAAAGGAATGAGAAGGGACAGTCTTACCGCATTCCCAATAGTAGAAAAAAAACATTCACTCCTTCACCACTAAGAATAATGTTAGTTATAAGTATCTCCTAGATATTCTTCATCAGACTGAAGAAGTCCTCTTCTATTGCTAGTCTACTATGAGTTTTTATCATGAATGGTTGTGGACTTTTGTCAAATATAGTTTCTGCATCTATCAAAATGATGGCATTTGATTTAAATATGGGGTTAACTTTAGCCTGTTAATATGGTGAATTACACCAAATTGCTTTTCAGATATTAAACCAGCCTTGCACTCCTGAGATAAACCCCACTAGCTCATGTTGTATTATCCTTTTAATACATTGCTGGATTTTATTTGTTAATATTTTGGTGAGGACTTTTTCACCGATGTTTGTGAGGAGTACTGGTCTGTAGCTTTCTTTTCTTAAAATGTCCGTTCCTGGTTCTGGTATTAGGGCAATGCTGGCCTCACAGAATGAGTTGGAAAAGGTATCCTTCTCTTGTTTTTCCTGTAAGCGTTTTTGTAAAATCAAGGACTATTTCTTCCTTAAATGTTTAGTGGAATTCATCAGTAAGTGAAACCATCTAGGTTTCCATATATTTTCAAGATCTCTATTAAAATGTTTAAAAAGAAATTAAGGGCTTCCCTGGTGGCACAGTGGTTGGGAGTCCACCTGCCGATGCAGGGGACGCAGGTTCGTGCCCCAGTCCGGGAAGATCCCACGTGCCGTGGAGCGGCTGGGCCCGTGAGCCATGGCTGCTGAGCCTGTGCATCCGGAGCCTGTGCTCCGCAACGGGAGAGGCCACAACAGTGAGAGGCCCGCGTACCGCAGAAAAAAAAAAGAAATTAACACTTAACACAGCCATTCCATTAACTCTTTAACCAGTCAATACCTCATACCTGCCCTGGTCAGCTCTAGATCCATCTGTCTTGCTAAACACTCTTCTATTTCTTTCTAGTCTATCCATTCTCACCCCTTAAGTAGAAGGGATCCATCATCTTTTCTGTTCCTTGGCTTATCTTTACTATAATGCTGCCTATTTACTCTCTCTATGACTTCTAGGAATACTTCCTTTGGTTTGACCAGACCCTAATGCATTCTTCCTGTCATCTTAAACCCAGTCAACACTGCTCGATGATGCTTTCAGGAAAAGAGGAAATGACCTAAATCAACCTATGTTCCTAGGACCTGGAGCCAACCCTTAGCTGTGTTTTCAAGACTCAAGTAAGGAGACTATCCACAATTGTCAGCAACTAGGGATGGGAGTTGGGGGGAGGTGAAGAGGTAGATCTGGACTAGGATAATTCACTCTTGTAAAACACTCTGCACTTAACTTCGCAGCATTAATCAAAATTTTCCTTAAATTTGTATAAGTGTGAGTAGTATCTGTCTCTTCCTACCTGCACTCCCTACCAGACTAAAAGCTCCATGAGGGCAACAACTATGTCCATCTTGAGCATTAATAATTTCCGTGCACCCTACAAATTCCTGACACATAGGTCTTACTCAGTTACTATAGCCCTATCAGATAAAAAGAAGAATTTAATTTCTGCCTCAACAAAGCTCTGAGATAAGGTAGTACTTCCCACATTTCTGGAAAAAATTAATAATAAAAACTTGAGCTGCTACCATGGGTCAGGCACTATTCTAAGATTTCTACATATATTCTCATTTAATACTACGACAAACCTATGAAGTAGGTACTATGATTATTCTCATTTTACAGATGAGGTATTTGAAGGACAGAGAGGGTGTATAATTCACCCAAGGTTATACAGATGACTGGCAAAGATGAGCTTCAAACCCAAGTAGCCTAGCCTAAAAGTCCACTCTATCAATCACTCTGCTGTAATACCTCTCACTGAAGAGGATACCAAATTCTTGAGTAGCAATAAATTGAGCCAAATAAAATAAAAGATATGATATAAAGAATACTAGGGGGACTTCTCTAGTGGCACAGTGGTTGGGAGTCTGCCTGCCGGTGCGGGGGATGCAGGTTCGAGCCCTGGTCTGGGAGGTTCCCACATGGCACAGAGCAGCTGGGCCCATATGCCTCAACTACTAAGCCTGCATTCTGGGGCCCACAAGCCACAACTACTGAAGCCCACGCGCCTAGAGCCCGTGCTCGGCAACAAGAGAAGCCACCGCAATGAGAAGTCCGCACACAGCAACGAAGAATAAACCTCACACACCGCAACTAGAGAAAGCCCGCACACAGGAATGAAGACCCAACGCAGCCAAAAATAAATAAATAAATGAAAAAAGAAAAAGAATACTAGGAATCATGCAGCTTAATATTAAAAAAAACAAACAGCCCAATCAAAAAATGGGCAGAAGACCTAAATAGACATTTCTCCAAAGAAGACATACAGATGGCCAAGAGGCACATGAAAAGATGCTCAACATCACTAATTATTAGAGAAATGCAAATCAAAACTACCATGAGGTATCACCTCACACCAGTTAGAATGGGCAACCCACTACTGGGCATATACCCAGAGAAAACCATAATTCAAAAAGACACATGCACCCCAACGTTCATTGCAGCACTATTTACCATAGCCAGGTCATGGAAGCAACCTAAATGCCCATCGACAGATAAATGGATAAAGAAGATGTGGTACATGCATACAATGGAATATTACTCAGCCATAAAAAGGAATGAAATTCGGTCATTTTGTAGAGATGTGGATGGACCTAGAGTCTGTCATACAGAGTGAAGTAAGTCAGAAAGAGAAAAACAAACATCGTATATTAACGCATACATGTGGAACCTAGAAAAATGGTACAGATGAACCGGTAAAGACACAGATGTAGAGAACAAACGTATGGATACCACAGGGGGAAAGAGGGCGGGGGTGGGGGTAGGTGGTGGTGGTGGGATAAATTGGGAGATTAGGATTGACATATATACACTAATATGTATAAAACAGATAATAAGAAACTGCTGTATAAATAAAATAAAATAAAATTCAAAATATGAAAAGAATACTAGGAAGAAAAATTCAGACTTAGATATACAAGTTACCAGTTTTATATGACAATTCAAAGAAACTGTTGCTATGAATCATTCTAGTGCCTGATCCTTATTTAAAACAATAGTCAAAACAAAACCAAATCTTCCTTTTCAGTTGACAGACACAGATGGAGACTAAAACCCAGAATATTCTCATGTTAAAAACATTTTCGTCTGCTACCAAATTTCTGTTTTATAAAAATACACAGTCTATTTTTATCTGCCACGAGAAGTCCAATTACCAAACTGGACATCACAGAACTAGATATGTGTTGCCTGGGTTCTCCAGGAGAGGCAGCAGGAATATGTGAAGACTGCACCATCCCTATGGCTTTGTCTTTCTAGTTCTCCCAGCATTAAATGTGGGATATTAATATGTATCAGGTTTGAATGTCCCCTGCAAGCTTTTTTTCTATCCTAAAAATTACCAGAAACCAATGCAAAGCATGTGACAGGGAAGACAGATCATAGGGGAGGGAACAAGGTGAACCGAAATCATTAAATGTCTGCGCACCCAATGCTTCTATGTCCCAAGAATTCTGTGGTCTGCTTCTGAGGCAACCAAGGGCCTCAGGGGTCTGTGACGGCTTCAGTTAATGATGTCTCACTGATGCACTACTGCAAAAGGCTCTGAGAAGTCTACAGTTATAAAAGGAAAATTTAACTCACCTTCCACTGCTCCTCTGGAAGCAGATTCACAACCACCAGGTCCCCATTCAAGGCTCTATTACGAGCAACAACCCCATCAATAAAAATGTCTCGATCACCATCCTAGGTTGGAGAAGGAAATAAAGTAGTCAGTTTACCAAGGCTTGGAACCAAAAAATTACTTCCTTGGTTTAAAAACTGTAGACTCTACAATCTGTCCACTGAGTTAACAGGAACACTAGTATTTAACCACAAACAGACCTAGAGGAAGCTCAGGCTCTTTGGAACTAATAGAAATGGTGATGAACACAGAAGAACAGGTTAACATAATACTAAAAAATCACCAAATAAGAGAAGATCTACTGTAGACAGGCCAAACCAAACAAACAAAAATGCATAAAGCAGAAAACGAGGGGCTTCTCTGGTAGCGCAGTGGTTGAGAGGCCGCCTGCCGATGCAGGGCACATGGGTTCGTGCCCTGGCTCGGGAGGATCCCACATGCCGCGGAGCGGGTGGGCCCGTGAGCCATGGCCGCTGAGCCTGCGCGTCCGGAGCCTGTACTCCGCAGCGGGAGAGGCCGCAGCACTGAGAGGCCCGCCTACCGCAAAAAAAAAAAAAAAAAAGAAAGAAAACGAGGACTGCATGCTTTCATAACTGAAATGAGAAAGGAGTAAGTTACCCTTTTTTGTTTTAAATAAAATAAAGCATGATAGTACCTTTTGTACATGACTGAATTTTTGTAAGGGAAAGGTAAAAAGTAGACAATTTGCAAGAAAACAGAAGAACAACAACACATTGATATAATCCCCAAAGAAAACCAAACAAGGGCAGGAGCAACAACCAGCTCCAGGAGTTGGGTTCTCTAGGAGAAAACCAGCAAAGTCACACTCCCCCCAAAGAAGTGGCAGAGAGAGCAATGTGGTTTGTTTGTTTGTTTTCTAACTGAAGTATAGTTGATTTACAATACTGTGTTAGTTTCAGGTGTGCAGCACAGTGATTCAGTTATTTTTTTCAGATTATATTCCATTATAGGTTATTACAAGATATTATATATAATTCCCTGTACTATACAGTAAATCTTGTTTGCTTATCTATTTTATGTATAGTAGTTTGTATCTGTTAATTCCATATTCCTTAACTGACCCTCTCCAGCCTCTGGTAAACATAAATTTGTTTCTATGTCTGTGAGTCTGTTATATATAGATTCATTTGTATTATTTTTTAGAATCCATATATAAGTGATACCATATAGTATTTTTCTTTCTCTGTCTGTCTCTGTCTTCACTAAGCATTATTCTCTGGGTCCATCCATGTTGCTGCAAATGGCAGTATTTCACTCTTTTGTATGGCTGAGTAATATTCCAATGTATATATACCACATCTTCTTAAGCCAATCGTCTGTTGACCACCTGCCGATGCAGGGGACACGGGTTCGTGCCCCGGTCCGGGAAGATCCCACATGCCGCAGAGCGGCTGGGCCCGTGAGCCATGGCCGCTGGGCCTGCGCGGCCAGAGCCTGTGCTCCGCAGCAGGAGAGGCCACAACAGTGAGAGGCCCGCGTACCGGTAAAAAAAAAAAAAAAGAAAGAAAGAAAATTAATCTTACCAAAGTCAAGAAAACATCCAAATAAAAAAATAATTCCAATTATAAATAACAAATTATTTTGATAATGTGAGTGCTTTATTCATTAAAGAATAATATATCCTTCTGATAAATTTCAAATATAGACATTTAAACAGTTTCAGACTGGTTTTGTTTAAATTTGCCTCTTCTAGTTTTTACCCTTTAAGCTTATATTATTCTTTTTCTTTTCAATACCATCTGATGCAATAGCATGTGATATGACAATGGCATAGGGCAGAAAGAATAATAATAATGCTTAAGTTATTAAAAGCTGTTTCATACTTTGGAGTGTTTCAAGATACAAAATTCTGTACATTAAAATGTTTTTTCAATATTCTGTAAGCTTACTTTTCAAAAAGACTTCTATAACATGCTGCAAACTCCTAAAATCAGGTCTCAATTAGTGATTTAGGAAAAAAAAAGAAAGCCTGCATCATAAAAACATGTATTAAACACAGTGTAGGAGGTAATTCTTCAGGAAAAAAAAATGAATGAAACTGGAGGCTAACAAGGAATGACATGATTGTTTGAACTAAATATAAAAATGATTTCCTAAAAATGTGGGAGAAAGAGGGTTACAGAAAACTTACTGGCATAAAAACAACTCAAGATACAGATTGAAATCTTTTTTTTTCCTTTCTTTTTTCGGTTGCGTTGGGTCTTCACTGCTGCGCGTGGACTTTCTCTAGTTGCAGCGAGAGGGGGCTACTCTTTGTTGCGGTGTGTGGGCTTCTCATGCAGTGGCTTCTCTTGTTGCAGAGCACGGGCTCTAGGCACACGGGCTTCAGTAGTTGTGGCACGTGGGCTCAGTAGTTGTGGCTCGTGGGATCTAGAGAGCAGGCTCAGTAGTTATGGCACACAGGCTTAGTTGCTCCGCAGCATGTGGGATCTTCCCAGACCAGGGATCAAACCCATGTCCCCTGCATTGGCAGGCAGATTCTTAACCACTGTGCTACCAGGGAAGTCCCGAAATCTTTTTTCAATAAACTAATTAGTAGACTTTTTCTAACTACAACTATAAGAATAATCTCTCCATCCTCCATTTGCTAGAGCTAACTGGGGAAGCAGCAGGGGGTATAAGGGGAAGTGCAGAGTCTAATTCTGCTAAAACAAGGAAATCATTACTTCAAACCTCTGAAGCCCCAACAAGTGACACTGCACTCATGACTCTCCTCCAAGATTACCTGTAATAGTGTCATATGTATCTTCCTCCTTTCTCTATAGTGCCAATGTAACTTTTATTTTAAAAGAACAGAAGAGTTAATTCTTTAATCATCCACAACAGTGCTTCTTAAAATTAAATGTTCATACAAATCACTTGGGAATCTTGTTAAAATGCAGATTCTCATTCAGTGGGTCCTGGGGTAGAGCCCAAGATTCTGTAATGTTGCTGGTACACAGACCACACTCTGAGTTGCAAAGATCCAGAGTACCCCAAAAGGAATACCACACCCAACACTAAGAATGTACTGAAGAAGACAGACAGAAGGCCCCAAAGCAATATACCCAGGCTGCCAAGGCTCAACCTCTTTACTGTCAAAAGACAACAAGATCTCATCCCAAAGTATCTGAGACTAGGATGTTTACAGGCTGCGGATACTCCATCATAGTGTATAACAAACCTCATTCCACCAGTGGTTCCAGGAAAAGAAATAACCATGTATCAAGAATTGCAAAAGTATCCAGCTCATCTTGACATTCACGCAGCAAGATCTGGGTCTTCGAGTCTACAACTGGCCTTTGCCAGTACCCAGTGAGAAGGAGCCCCCAATAAGGCTGACAAGGACTTATCTCCAGCCACTACTTTTCTCCTCTCAGCCTCCACTCCAGCTAATAAACAACTTTTAGGATTTAGAGCAGGCTAGGCTCTCCTTTCCATCAAGTCTCTATTCCCTATTCTTCATATAGTTAAAACTTACTTTCCATTCAGACTTCATTTCTTCCAGAAAGCATTCCTAGATCCTATGCAGCCTAGCAGGACATCCCTATCGTGCACTCCCACAGCACTCCAGGACTTCCTCTACCACTGCCCTCACCAATTCATGTGGCTCTACTGGACTGACTTTCTCAATCCAGGTTCCGCAAGAAAAGTAAGCCCTTATACACTAAGGCATCCATTATACATAATGAATTAACTTCTCTACTTTGAACCTAGAATGGCACTATTTAAGTACCATCTTTGGGAGAATTGAGAGGACAGTTATTCAAGTTGTTTTCTATGTTCTGTGGTTTAGATGCAGAACCGGATCCCGCCTACCTCATTCTACACCATATTCCTAAGGTACGACATGATGCCTGACTCATAGTAAGTACTCAACGAAGGTTTGACAGAGGAGTTGCGTGAGTGGACTAGCCCTCCCTGACCCTGCTGACAGTCTATATTATAAACCATTTATCTCCATCATTTGTTCTATGTCCCAACCTGCTAGAAATCTCCTTGGTTCCTGACCATGAACATACTTCTCATTTGTAGCCTTATACTCATCCCTTTCAACTGATCTTTGTCACTTGTCTCAAACACTGACCTTTACCTGACCTACTACTGTCCTCCTCTACTACATCCTGTACCAATGACAATTTTTACAGCGACACAAATGGGCCTGGTTTGGCACTTAAAAAGGACCTAGTGGAAAACTACTTGTCTTCTCTCTGATCACTTCAAGCACTGATACATACTACCTACTGCTCAAGTAAATGGCAAAAAGGCCTGAAGCATAAGGGCAGAGCCCAGGGACACTGGATGAGAAACTGAATGGAGCTAGAATAAGCAGTAGTAAGGAAACAAAGTTAAGGTGGCCGTGTGCTTCCCATTCAATTTCCCCTGCTTCCAAAAAATACTACTTAAAACTTAATCTGCAAAATCTATTTCTAACCTGATCAAAAATGATCTAAAACTATGGTAAATACATACAGAATTCTTAATAGGCTGCAAGCTTAACGTTCACACATATTATTAAAGAGAAAACTCTAAAGGAAAACAAAACACAGAATCCATGCAAACTAATTTTCAAGAACCCACAAAGATAGAGACTCTAACATTGTCTGATTCAAAATCAAAAGACTCAAGAACTAAAAGCCTGAAATACTGAGATGGAGTCAAAACAGGAAAACTTTTGCCAGCATAGCTGTCCTGCTGTTTAAGGAGGAGAAGCAGGGGTCTGTGTCAAGGCTTCTACAGTTGCTTGGTTGGTTGGGCAGGAGCAAAGTCCTTCATGAGGTCTAATCATGCCTCTAGAAGAGGGGTCGGCAAACTACCACCCACAGGCCAAATCCAGCTGCTTCTGAAGATGAAGTTTTTCTGGAACAGAGCTGCTTTTGTGCTGCACTGGCAGAGTTGAGAAGTCGTGACAGAACCATGTGGCCCACAATGCCTCAAACATTTACTATCTTGTCTTTTACAGAAAGTTTGCCAACTGCTGCCCTGGAAGGTGCCTATGTTCCCAAAACTGCCATACGGACATCTCTCTTCTCCTGGCCAATTGTCCCCAGTGCATTTGCTTCTAAAACCTGATATGGCTTTCTCTAGAGCACGTCC